CCTCACATTTTCGCTCCTCAGCTCCAATCATGGTAAGTCTGAGGTAGGTGCCGACTCACAAAATGTCCTCCCCCTCAACCTTACAAAACAGATCTGCGCCCTTCTGGGTATGACATTAAACTGCACCTGACTCAGAGTATGTCTTGTGACTACTGAGGAGAGGGGGCATAAATTTGTTTTTAGAATGTGATCTGGTTTTTCATGCCCCTTTTTCGTGATTATGACTATTTTAGATAAGATTTTTTTTTTTTTTTGAGAAAAAAAAAAGGAAAATATATTCAAATTTAAGTATGAAAGTGTAATTTCCGGCCATCTAGAGGTGCCCTAATCATAAATTTTCTTACCTCAGCCCCTCAGTCTGTGAAAATCCCTCCCTGGGACACCTCTCTTTCTATTTCCTGGATTCTGTTGATTTACTATAATTATTGCTGGGCCTACTAATATTATTTATGATGTGTCTAATACAATTTTCACTTTACCCTCTCAAAACAGTCCTTAAAACGTTCAGAGTGCGCTACTTCACAGGGGGGGGGGGGGGGGTTCGTCCCTCTGGACCCCGCCGGGGTCATATGTATCTCGCATAACGGCTCCCCCCTTTCAAAATCCTTGCTACGTCCCTGGTTTAACTGCATAATTTTAAATTGTAAAGTGGAAAATAAACTAATGGCATTATCCAGGGCACTGGGCTGGGTGGGTTGAGAGAGGCACCCATGTAGCACCCACAGTGGAGCGTTACCCTTGGTTATGTCTGAGCAGTACACAGAGGTGAGAATAAGCCCATTACTGCACAAGGGACCAACGGCTTTTACGTCTGTTCGGAAACATGATTGAGTGTGGAGGTTGATGGAATAGAACCAGGTATCCTAAGGTCTCCAAGGTTCAGCACACAAAGTTTTAATTTTAACCAACAGTATACTGATTTTAAAATTGTAAATGATCTTGAAAGTCGAAAAGGTCAAAAACATTAACATCGATCAACGTATCTTTCTTACAGCTGACTGTACTATAAATAAACAATTTTTAGCCTACTAAGTCACTTATAGAATTATCTTTAGCGACCAACACTCGTGGGGGAATTACGTACTGCAAAATGACGACGATCCGTTCCAAAACTCTTATGTGGGAATATTATGTACGCATATAGGCCCCTAAGCATGTTTCTTCTCTATAAGAGTTTTGGGGGGAAAAATTAGGCGTTTGTATTGACACATTATTCCATGTGTTCTCCGATGAGAAATACTTGTTACCACTGAAATATCGTTTTTGATTGCCTCACTCATTTACTCTTGCCTTCTATTTAGTATTTCCTGAAACAGTGCCTCTCATCTAGTTTTATTCAACGCATTCGTTCGATAGTGTTGATTTTCCGAAGTTTATCGTTTGCTACGTATTATCGACTTCGCGTGCATGTATCAGACACATGGACGCGTGCCGTATTTCTGCGTTGATATAATGTTCTATTTCAATCACACGTCACTATCCATTTTAATTCTATAAGGTCTTAAGTTTGTTACGCATTTATGCATTTTAAATCTGTCACAAATGAATGCGAGGCACCGACTTACTTTTTACATTCATTTGCACAAGATAATTCATTGCTCTTGATGCTTTTAGGCCAGGAGACAGAAGCGTAAAGCCTAGGTTTCAGAAAGTCTGCTACGCGGCTATCGCCGTCAGCTTTCGGCGACGCTAAATGGTCGGTCGAATCGGGTAGCCTTCCCGATTACGTCGGGACAGTTACGCAATTCAAGCATATTTGCAGTCAAAGATTGCCCTTATTTTACTTGAATTTTTATACATTGTTTAAGGAAACGGTATTTTTGTTTCTCTTGAGATACGGTATATAATACCCGGTATTCATATTTTATATCAGAGTTTAAAAAAAACACACAATTTTATTGTGTTTGATGAACTGCTTCCCCAATGCCCAACAAAGTCAGTCCGTGTGTTCTGCAAATGTGCAAGTCAAATGTTCTGGCTGTTGGAAAATATTACCTGTTATTATACTGACGATACCCTCAGGCGGTTGCTTGGTGCATATTTTAGTCATTCGTTGTCTACTGACGCTAACACGTCATGCAAAATTAATTTACAATGGATTAGGGCCTATTAATAATGATATTCTGATATGAAATGCATCGATTGTCTCAGACTGTATAAATCGTTTACCTTGCAGCAGTTCTTTAGCTAACGAGCTGACGTCATCAATGTTATTTTTTTCATTGTACATATGGACCCCAATGGAAAAAAGCTGGAACGATATTTACCGGCTTTTTTGGGTTATCCATGGAAGACTTCCGTACGTTTTAATTCATGTTTTTCTATTTTAATGTTTTTTGTGTTCAGTGTTTCTGAATCATGGTAGTGCATTTATGTAAATACTATGATCATGGTAGTGCATTTATGTAAATACTATGATCATGGTAGTGCATTTATGTAAATACTATGATCATGGTAGTGCATTTATGTAAATACTATGATCATGGTAGTGCATTTATGTAAATACTATGATCATGGTAGTGCATTTATGTAAATACTATGATCATGGTAGTGCATTTATGTAAATACTATGATCATGGTAGTGCATTTATGTAAATACTATGATCATGGTAGTGCATTTATGTAAATACTATGATCATGGTAGTGCATTTATGTAAATACTATGATCATGGTAGTGCATTTATGTAAATACTATGATCATGGTAGTGCATTTATGTAAATACTATGATCATGGTAGTGCATTTATGTAAATACTATGATCATGGTAGTGCATTTATGTAAATACTATGATCATGGTAGTGCATTTATGTAAATACTATGATCATGGTAGTGCATTTATGTAAATACTACTGGATAGGCCTCTTTCGGGTGAAAACACATTGAGAATGTGTCGCATGAATAATCAGACTAGCCTCTATATAAACTCATCATCAGTAGAGGCCCTGCGCGTCTACGGCATTTATAGTGTTGATTTCGTTAGTTATGGGTGGACAGTCGAGAGTAAGGCACTTAAGAGAGAAACAGGTTACTGTAAGAGCTAGTCCACACCTCGTGTGCTTTAAGACTGTTTCGGTATATAAAGCGCTATACACCGTAAATCTACCAAAATTACGTTTATAACACTGTCCGTAATAGGCAGTAGCCAACGTATTTTTGCGGTTCATAGCTAACCAATCGCGTTGATTACTTTCGATTAGGCCTATTCATATATTTATTTGGTATAAAGCGTATCGTAAATCTACCAAAATTACGTTTATAACACTGTCCGTAATGGGTGGTAGTCTACGTATTTTTTTGGTTCATGGCTAACCAATCGCGTTGATTTAGTTTCGATTATTCATTTATTTATTTGCCAAGAAGACAAATTAAAAAAACGGAAAGCAGGTATAACTTGATTACAATATTATATTAGAAAATCATATAAATCATTATATGTTGGCAGCCAATGATAGACATACGACATTGTTCAGAAAATCGGACAGAGTGCCATCGTGTTTTAGATTTGAGAGAATAGCTAAGCTCAGTCGGCTAAACTGGTGGTATTCCCGTGTATTCGATGAACTTTGGAGATCTGTAGGTCCCCGGTTCGCAAGGATAATTATTATATTTGTATTATTATTTTTGAGAAATAAATTTTCTTTTGAACTTGAACTTGACAGAAATACAAGTTACGATAGCACACCGATAGCGCGTCTTTCGAATGAAACGTTTAAGCCGTTGGTTCGTGTGTAATATGGCCCATGTGCACGTTACAGAACGCCGTACACTCATCGGAAAAGAGTGAGGGATTGTCTCCCGGTGTACTATCAAATTCATCACCAGAGGGACCGCACTGGAAACAAGTATTTGGACTAACGAACTACCGTACCCTATTACATAATATATTCCAACCATTCCAATTATCATTTACATAGAATTATATTTATCAGTCACTTAAAGCGACGACATTGTAGTTTTACAAACCAACACACTGGCATTTATCATTCACTTTAAAGTGTCAATTACGTGAAAGATTTATATTGATCGCCGCAGAATACACTACATACTTGTTTATGATATTAAGCAGACCCAAAACCAATGATAAAGTAGGAATTCAGCATACGTCGGAAATTGGTTTATAAATTCTTGTTCTGTCACAACAAGAGACGATTTAGGATCTCGTAGGTTGTTGATGAATAAACCTATTTGCTAGTTCAAACCCGCTTTCTCACGAATTAACGGACATAACATAAGCCATGAATATTTTTGTATTATTTTAGATGGCTGCTAATTTCCATCATACATCTTACTTCAAGTCTTTGGCAATCCAGGATGGAAAACGTAACCATTATTGCAAATATTGTTGCGAACTTAAGTAAAGCAATCGATAATCACTGTAAGATATAGCCTAGGCCTACCGATATAAATTTAAATTACGTACATACAAACATACCGCAGAGGTCTGTAACAAACGTCAATACAGATTGAGAGCCCCTGTTCACAATGGAAATTTATGAGCATAAAAATAAAAAAATTGTTTATACATCTGTAATTTAATCTTTCTTTCCGCGATACGGCAAATGTGAATGGTTATTAAACATGCATATGTTTACCAATGTTGCATTTAAAAGAAAATATATCATGAGAAATGATAGATTGGCGGAAATTATTTTAAAATTGTGAATAAATATTTATCGACGTTAAGTCGGATACACATTGCCCATAGTCGACGAAATTCCATAACGAATGCAACGCGACGAGACGCGCGCAACGAACCGTTTTTAATGACGATCCGCTTATATAGTTTGCGGCGTTACGTCATCAATCGCTCACAGAGATCGAAGATAGATTCGCCGGCCAACGGACAGGCCGTACAACTGTCAACGACGCTGTAGTACACGTCTTGATGATAATAAAAATAATGTTTTGTAATTTTTCGTTAAAATTACTGCTATATACTGTCCTGTCATTAGAGTCTGCCTCATTATAAAGTCGGTAATTGTTAATCAGCTAAAACTTACCTAATTACGGAATTTCTTGGCTTGGCTGCTTCAAGCGTTTCTTAATATTCCATCCTTCCTAAATTTTGTGCAGCTTTGATGGAAACCGTAAAGCCTATGTTTTCCAGAGCCTGTGCTGCAATAGGAATGGTTTAAACACGTGTGATATACTATTATAAGAAGTCATGCTCATTTGTCATGAGGTTTAAGAGACAAGGCCCACGTAAATGATAAAATCATAAATTTGTTTACTGTTTTTTTTTGTTTTTTGTTTTTTTCTCGTTCGCAGAACTTGGGATCTTATGTTACGAATCACAAGCAAACGTCATCAATCCAACACAACGTGGCCTTATAATAGTTCAAATCAAAATGTCAACAACATCAACTAAATTCATCATTAAAACATCTGTAGACTATGTCAGAGTTAGGTGAGTTCGTTGGTTTCTACGGGGCGCTTTTTAGTGGATAAATTGTATTCACTATAAAATCGATCCCTTGGTAATTTATATGGACGGTTATAAATTAATACTAGTTAAAATAATGTTTTTAAATACGACTGAATGTAAATAAAGGAACGCGACCATTTGTGCTAGGCATCCGACTGTCGATAGGTGGCACCCTAGGGTGGATGCCCACTCCATATCAAAGTCTTGCATCTTATTGAATTGTTGAAGTGGTCAAATCAAAATAATATAATAATTTCCTATAAATATAATCAGATACAATTATGACTTCCAAAATGTTTTGTTACATTTGCAAAACATTAAATGTCATTCTCTCTAGTGAAAATATTTTAATGTGCGTAATATGCCTACAATTAGATATGCGAGGTATATTACAATCCAAATCAGCTCTATTAAGATAGTGCCTGCCAACTGCTTTTTATTCTATTTAAAGTGTATATCTGAAGTTGAGTACAGCTGTGTCGGCCGACGGTGATGAGGGGCACTCGATGTATCGTTTTATACGACGATTCGCTCAGAATGCCACACCGACAATCAACAGGCGACGTCGCGTTGTCACAAACGACGATCACAATATTTTTAGCTGATAAAGTGTATGCCCGGCTTAACTGCAGTCATCTTGTGCGTGTCTAAAGGTGGGCACTCACTGAGGCCGACGGTGGTCGGCCGACGCGATGCTACGGAGAACGTAACGCGACGGCGCTCGCAAAACACTAATCGTTTTATTGACGATCCGCTCACTGACATCCACCGACAATCAGCAGACGGCGTCGCGTCATCAAGCGCTCTCAAAGCGGAGATGGATTCGTTGGCCGACGCGTCGGTCGTACAGCGCAGTGAGGGCGTGGCTTAATGGAACCATTCTGAATCAAAAGGAACACAGTGGAGGATCCAGGAATTCAAAATAGAAAGGGGCCAGGGTGAGATTTTCACAGACAGAGGGTCTAGCGCACCTCAGGCCCACCATGGTTGCGGCTGAGGTAAGAAATATATGATTATGGCACCTATAGATGGCCGGAAATTGCACTCTCAGAATTAACTTTGAATACTTTTCTTTTCTCTCTCCACTTTTTTTTTAAATTATTTTGAAAATTTTAGGGGTGGGGCGGGCCGGCTGCTTCTCCCCCACCATTTATTCCGCCGCGCGCTGGTACGGAGAGGTCAAAATGCTTCATCAGATGAAGGGATAAATGTATTCCCGACATTTATCAACTCAAGATAGTCCATCATTCGTCACCACATGACACCTTCAGCACACAGTAAATGATTTGTTAACCGTTAACACCAGACAGTAAACTCAACGGTAAGTAGGCCAACGCGGACGTACCTCTGGCACAGACCCTGAACGCTAATGGAAAAGTAAACTCGCACCTTCCCGTCCCGTGTATTTTGGCTGTGTGACTACGAATAAAATTGTACTTTGTTTATGGGCGTTTTAATGTCACATATATATGTCATCGTTTCACTTTTCTGGAAATCGTGTTGAGTTAAAACGTCGTAAATACCTGACGGACGTTAACGCCTAGCAAAGGGGTGATTACTAATGAATGTTCATTGCTTGCCATGCCAAAAGCCAAGGCATACATTAGAGCAGCTATGCTTGTTCCGTTGTCATGGAAGAGATGGACTTCATGAGTGAGTGAGTGAGTGAGCGAGGCATGTCGGTGTTTTGAATAAGAAACAAAACAGTAAAGTCAAAGATGCATAAGGCAAGCGCTCATAAGCTAGGTTTCCATACGATCGCTACACGCTGATGCCTGTCTCTTATACACATCTAGATGTGTATAAGAGACAGATATATGGGCATGTCACATTTTTTTGTCAAAGAAAATTTGATAGTGTGGATAGAGCTTTAGAGAAAAGTTCATTGATTTGCTGCAAATGATCCTGGGAAATGTAGTATCAGGAAGCGACAGAGGGAATATGCCCTTCAACTTGATTTTATTGTCAATACACTGCAGACTTTCATCATATGGGAACCATTGCTATTTACTCTGATATTATCTACTTGATACCAATAAATCCCTAGTTTCTACCTAATTATATTAGGCCTATACATCGAATTTTTGAAGTATAACTTGGGTAATAAATAGCACGATGGCTTCTGAGAGAGAAGCTTGTCTTCTTATGTCTACTAAAACTTGAGTATTCAATATCAGCTATTCTTGTAACACAACTCACATACAATATTGAAAGCAAACATTTTTACAAATATCCGGACGCATCTGCGAATAATGAAGTCAAAAATAGCGAGATCGATCGATAGTCAGGCATTCGTCAGGCATTATATAGCGCCAATGTTCAATTCCTATTGACGTTTATGTATTACGGGTCAATCTTAATGTTTATCATATTCAAACCATCTTTATTTTAATTATCAACTGCTATGTGTGCCCGGCTTAAGTAATCAGAAATCTCATAGCAGACTCGGGGTCACATCATCTAGAGACATTTTCTTTGCAAATCTACTAAATTAAAAATGGCCTAACTCTTATCTGGCGTACAAAAGCTTATTAGGTGTGAAGATTTTCTATACAGAATATCGCGCTCGTAACAATGCTTTTCAAAGCCAGGAAAAATCATTGGTTTCCCATCTGCTCCTCTTTCTTTGGAACATTTTATTGAGTGTAAACTTTTTTTTTTGTTTTGCTGCCAATCAAGCAAAAATACGAAGTGTAATTATATAAATATCCAACTCAGTGGTCCCAAAGTTGACCCTTTTATTTGGGTTATACTGTGTATAAACCTAAATATACAATGTGATTTGTCGCATATTAGGGTGTAGTATGAAACCATCATGATCATTATGGGTGTGATAACATCATCATTCCCATATATGGATATATCATGCACTCTGTCACATAAACATGACAGTGTCACTTGGATAGAGCTTAACTGACACGCCCGATTGCTGTGTTATCAAGTTGATTTCATCCTTCAGACAATATGAAAAGAATTTCAGTGACGCTTACTTTCATATTTTCTAATACGAATGTGCGGAACAACCTTTATAAAAGTAGCGTAAACTTGGCTTGTGATTCTGGCGTGCCTGATAGCCTGAAGAAACGCTTAGAATAATGACGTCAACTCGATTTTATGGCATGCATACGTACTGGACAATACGGTGCTGCAAACCCTCTTTAATAACGCCATCCAGTAGACCTACCTACATGTATCTTGCTCGCAGCAGCTGTTTTTCGGCAAACCTTCTGGATTAACATTTAAATGTTAATAAAATTAAAAGGCCCCAGTTAAAATCTTATGATCAACCATTTTTGTGCCGGCCAACATTGTAAAGATGACTTTATGCGGCAACTGGTCTGTCTTTCAACAGGTGTTATTCATTCCTCGTCAAGTATGACTTTATATTGCGTGCTTACATTTAGCTTTATATAATCACTGCTGCCGTGTGTCAATGCACTATATGAGCCTGGTGAGAGTGGTAAACATTCTTGCGATCGAAAGTACGACTCCTTTCAGGAATATTATATCTAGGTGAAAAGTTAATATGCTCAAGTGCATATGAAGACGTCACATACACTACTGTAATAAGCGCTTTAAATGGTGAAAATGATACAATAATTGCTTAAATTATAGGTCAGGTACTAAGATGTTATAATAAAAAGCGCACTGCCACAAAACTCAAACCCGATTGCCGCAATATGCCTATCTTCCCCATACTCTCGATTTAAGAAATCCTAGTTCATTTTAAGATTATGTTATGTTACAGAGTAATACACGGAAACAGCTACTGTATATGGAGTGTAGCTTACATAACCGACTCAGTTTATATGCCATCGGTTATAGGTAAAAGAGTCGCTTTGCACTGTTCAAATTACATTAAAAGGGGGAAGTCCTGATAAGCGCCTAGACCCTTGTAAGTTCTTTTTTTTTTGCCAGTGACTAAGCAAAAGAGCATCTATCTATGCGGTTGTGAGAGGTGTCGCCTTCAGGATGATATCTATAGACAGTAGGCCTATATATTAGTTGTCAGGTAAACGACAGAGGCCCCTGTTTAAGAAGCAATCATTCCACTGGATAATTACTTACGTCACGTGAACGAGGGTACACCTTGGTGACATTAGATGGGAAACGAAAGTGACAAGTGACAGATAGGTTGAAACTATTCAGATATTAATACCTGTCAGTCACCTTGAAGCATTAGCATAATATATAATAATTTATACACTGTAAAAACAGCGTAGAGGATTTAAACACAAAGCTCCCCGCAATGTTGTCCCGTTTTTGGTGACACGTTTAAAAGCTAAACATGTTTAGGCCAGGCCTAATGTGTTTAGGTTATTGACGTTTTTAGAATTAAATGTGCTTAGGTATTTGACATCATGATGT